CAAATATTGTAGATGCCTTTCTAAATGCATATATTAAATGATACTCCCTTCTGATGATTTGAAATGCTACTTCAAATATACCAAATTTGATACATACAAGTATCTGCTTTCAGGTTTCTGAATATGTTAGTATTTTTGTTCTCTAAGAATATTTGTCTATTCCTGAAATGTGCATATACTGTTTTAAATAGTAGTACTTCATCATATATTTGTGGTACTATAGGGTCAATGACCTTCATTTTCTTCTCAAAAAAGAATGGGCAGGGTTTATTCAGTCCATTTTCTTCAGGTTAATTTAATTTAATTTAATTTTTCCCACTCAGACTGCATTCCTTCCCTCTTACTCCCTCCAAAGAGAAAGCAAAAACAATAATCAATGGCATGTGGCATAGCAACATGAGAGCCAGCTTCACACTCAGGAAAGAACACTACGCCTCCTGCTTGTGGTTTCTTGTACTCTACATGATCAGAGAAACTTCTCTAGTAACATACTATAGAAATGATCCCTGAAAGTGTAGCCTTTCAAGTTAATTAGAGTCAGCTGATCAAGTTCTATTAAACTATCAGCTACCAAGTTCTTGCCTATTTCTTGAATTTATTTCTATTACAGCTCTTCTTTTGTTCATTAAATCCTTCTTCCATTGTACTGATTTTTTACGTATGTGTCTGTTAGGAAAGTGATTTCCACAAACAACTGAAAACCCAACTATGTCTCAGAAAAACAGATGGTTATGTACCAAAACGTCCACAGGGAATGTTGCATGGTAGCGTTAGGACGTCAATGGAGAATTTTTTACCTCCATTGGCATGAGATACCCATTTCAGCATTCTCACAAGAAGGAGAAGAGGAAGGAAACAGTGTGCTGTCTGTATGAGAAATGAAAGCAGCTCCTCAGGACACTTGGCCCACTTCTCACCAGCCAGAACTATCACATAGCCACCTCCAGGTGGCAACAAAGGAAAGGGACATAAGAATGGGCCTTGGGTCAACCAGGCAGTGTCTCCCACCTGGGTTATGGAACGGCTATCGGTTTGTGTTTCTTGAGCTTAACATCAGCTGCCTTGCTAACCACTGTAATTAATTTTAGTAGCATTTCAGCTGAATCCCTTGCGCTGTCTTCAGAGACAATTGCATGCCTGTGGATAATGACAGTCTGTCTCTTCTCCTCAGGTGGATGCATCTCATTTCTTTGCTTTTCTCTTTTGTTTTATAAAGTGATTGTTTCTTTTGGTCTCCTTTATTTTCAGCTTAATATGTGTTTTAATTCCTTATTTTTGTTACAGGTTTTCCACTATTTTTCTTTTCAAGTGCAATGATTTATTTGTTAAACATATAATAACCACAAGACAGCAAAAATAGTATCCCCTAAATTATACTAGTTATAGGTACTAATACAAAAGAAATCATATAAATCATAATCTAAGGCTTTAAAATGTTTTGGTAAAATAACTGCTTGT